ATGTATATGTATATGTATATGTATATGTATATGTATATGTATATGTATATGTATATGTATATGTATATGTATATGTATATGTATATGTATATGTAGATGTAGATGTATATGTATATGTATATGTATATGATGTATATGTATATGTATATGTATTTGTATATGTATATGTATAACAATAGTAAATAAAACACTCATTCCATTCCAATTCAATTCTATCATTAATATTAGTTAGAATCTTAACATCTTTAACATTTCTTTTCAATTGAATACCATACTTCCTTGTGAACTTATAAACTTTCCATAATTAATTCTTTTTTTTCATATTTCTCTTCACTTATATTTTTATAAATCATTAATAATAATTAAAATGTTTCCATCCTTTCCTAATTTCATTCTCTCATTCACTTTATTTCATTTATTTATTTACAAACATTTCACTGCATTACAATAAGTATTTTATCCATCATTTTAATCATACATTGTTTCATATTTCTAAAATTATTTCTATTTCTAATATAACAATACTATCTTATGTACCTTTGCAGAATCCCTTTTTCAATTAAATTTTCACCCATTATCGCTAAATAGGCTTATATTTTCAATCCTTATACATTTTCCCTGTTTCTCTATATCTTGTTTCTATCTTTTATAACTTCTTTTCCTTTCCTTCTTGTCTCTCTACTTCTAATTCTCTCTTCTGTGATCCTCTCTTTTGTTGCTTCCTAATATTGTTAATTATTTTTCAAACTATTCTTTTTTTTTTTTTTGGCTGTTTTTTCAAATCTTAAACTTTTCACTCTCTTTCCCCCCTTTCCTTTTTTTCCCCCACATAAAATTACTTGATCATTAAAGATGGCTTCTTCTTTGTCCCAACCTTCATGTTCAACAAGCGTTTCTTGTTGTTTCTCATAGTTCCAGATCTCCATTTCTAAAAATTGAAATACGAAGCCAAAAGAACCTCTTCCTTCTTGTGCATCTTCTTTCTGTTTTTAAGTTCTATTTCCAGTTCTTCTAAAAGTGATGCCATTTTAAACATTTTTAAACAACCACTGGTTTGATTTTAGTCATTTAAATCCAATAGCCAAAAATCCAAAAATCATCAAGTAATCCAAATAATCCAAAGCTGTTTCTTCTTGCTTCTTTTTTCCACTTTCTCTTCCTGGGATTCTATTATTTTGATACAAAGTTTCAGTTAGAATATATCTTTTAGGAATCTTGTTAAGGTTTCACTGTAGGTTCCTTTTAATTCCTGGCAGCTGTCAGTATAAGGAAGGGAAGGAAAAAAAAGCCAAATCCTTTCCCTTCCCTCTCCTTCGCTGCTTCAAAGTGTTCTTTGGGGAACAATGTTATTTTTGTATAGTTCAAATTCCAAGGTACCTTACATTGTTGCTTTTTCAGTTTAACCCAGTCAACCAAAACTTTCTCTTCTTATCTTCCTCCTGCACATTTTTTTCTGGTTGAGTTCTTCTTTGAGATGGCCATTTCTGACCACCGCTGCAACTGCCTTCAGGAAAGGGAGTAATGGCCAGCAGAGGAGGAGATGCGGCTCTCCTCGACCCTGCTGGCGGTCTCCCTTCTCTTCACCACCTCTATAGGATGGCTTAGTCCCAAATCCAGCCAGCTCAGGGAGCTCTGGCAGCGAGCACGGATCAAAACTGCATATGATCACGGATTTCGGTCCGTCACCAAAGAAGCTCAAACCAGAAGTCCCAGAAACATATCCTTAAAACCAGGTCATTCAATCCTGTTCAGCAAAAGTCCATTAAGGGTTATCAGAAACAATTTGTCTAGTTGAATTTTGATTAAATAAATCCATTTTATATTCTTAACTTTTATAGTCATTCAGTCATTCAGTCATTCATCAGACTTGTATGCCACCCATATAACATTTCTTCTTTATTAGAGAAATTCCTTTTACTTTTAACAATCTTAATATTTAATTTCTTCAAGGTATAACCTAAAGTTTGTCTCTCTTTTCTTTTCTTTTTTGTTCCTTCTCACAAATCCTTAAGGACTTTAATAGGTCTCTTTTATAAATTCAATATAAGAAAGTATTGCTTGTTCTGTTTGCCACTTATATATCATTTTATCAATAACTGAGAAGCTTATACAAAGCCTTCAAGAATTTATGAGAGTAACCCTAACTAACTTTATATTCTGAAAGATTGGTTTCCCATTTTTTTGTCCCTTTTCTCCCGTCCCCCCATAGGTATGTGAATTGCTTTACATTGAAAAAACAAACACTCTCCTCTCCATCCCTCCAACATTCCCTTTTTCTCTGTGCTTCTGTAAAGTTCATCTTTAATAAATACATAAGACAACAAGCAACACACAAAACTTTGGGAAAAAACAATTTTCCCATTTTACATTTTCTTAATTCATAATACTTTATGACTAAAAAAATGTCCTTTATCCTCGCGCTGACACTGTTCACTGATAAGCAACATTTCCTACTAAAAAGTATAATCTGTTTCTAGGATAAAAATAAGAAAACAATATGGAATTATAGATGCAGATTACTGCCCTGCTGCAAAATGGATTTTTATCTATGGAAAGAAAGTACAGAGGTAGTGGATGTTAGATAGGCAGGTCGATAGAAGAGGCAAGACTATGATTAGTTGAGAATGTAGCATTATTGAAGATCCCGTGTAAAGAGACTGAGCCACAGCTGGCTCCGGCTTTTAAAGCCGGAGTTGTCCGCGAGTTCAGCCACTGTTGCAGCTTCAATATTCACATCGGAATTTCCAGAAAATGAGTGGAGTCTGAGGAGTCTGAGGTCAGACTCCACTCCTCATGAATATTTAACAGTGGATAGGCCAATTACATATTATCTCAAAACCATTGTACCATATTTTCAAAAATCCTGGAACACCAGAGAACTACCAGAGGATTGGAAAAGAATTGATGTGGTTTCTATCTTCAAAAAACAAACAAACAAACACAGGAAACTACAGATCAAATAGCCTAACATCAATACCTGGGAAGATGCTGGAAAAAAATAATAAAAAACAGATCTCTGAACATCTAGAAACAAATAGGTAATTATAACGAGAAGACACCATGAGTTTGTTAAAAACAGATCATGCCAAACCAATCGTATTTCATTCTTTGAGAAAGTGACTAAATTAGAAGACCAATGAAATGCTGTGGATATAGTACACTTAAGACTTCAGCAAGGCATTTGACAAAGTAAATCACAACTTACATGTTGGAAAGCTAGAAAAATGTGGGATAGACAAAATCAACACCAGATGGATTTGTAATTAGCTGACAAACCATACTCAATGAGCAGTCCTTAATGGTATTACATCTACATGGATGGAGTACCACAAGGTTCCATCTTAGGCCCAATACTCTTCAATATCTTCATAAATGACTTAGATGAGGGAATATAAGGGGAATGCATCAAATTTGCAGATGACACTAAGATAGGAATAGCCAACATCCCAGAAGACAAGGTCAGAATCAGATTTGAACAATAGGCCCTATCCAACAACATGAAATTTAATGTGGAGAAAAGCAAGATTTTATACCTAGGAAAAATCAAAGGTAGAAATACAGAGTCGGTGAAACTGGGCTCAAAAATAGTAACTCTGAGAGGACCTTAGAGTTCTAGTGGATGATCTCTTAAACGTGAGCACCAATATGCAACAGCAGCCAAAAATGCTAATACAATCTAGTGGCATAGAATCAAAAGCACATGAAATATTAGTACCGCTTTATAAATCCTTACTCATCCTTACCACACCTGGAATACTGCATCCAGTTTTAGTCATCACATTACAAAAAAAAATGTTGAGGCTTTGGAAAAAGTTCAAAAAAGAGCAACTAAGATGATTAAGGGCATGGAGACAAAAACATATGAAGAAACAGTTGCAGGAATAGGGAGGGCCAGTCTAGAGAAAAGGACTATGGGGGACATAATAGCAGTATTCCAGTATTTGAGGGACTGCCACAAAGAAGAGGGGGTCACCTTATTTTCCAAAGCACCATATTTTCCAAAGGAAGGCAAGAAGGAATAGATGGAAACTAATCAAAGAGG